TAATGACACTTTTAGGACGTAAGAGTAAGATTATATGATTTCGTCCGTAACAATTTATTTATTTCCGTCAGTGGGAAATCATCCGTGGAAGCCATGGGGCCATGAGAACGACCTCAGCGCCGGGAGTAGAAGGTGAAACTCGATGTTGGGGTTATGGCTGAAGGTRTGGCTTCCAAGTTTTCTTCTGGGAATTTCCAACAAAGSTTTCTTCGAASTTTGTTCAGTCTTATGAGAGARTTGTTGCAAGAAAACTTAATAAGAATTGCTCTAACTTCTTCATATGGTTCGTAAAAAAGATAATTTGTTATCGAAGTTTTCATCTATATTTCGTATGGGCTTTAGACCAATCACCCATAAACATCCAAACTTTACAAATGCTATTTCAACTATATTACAGTTTATTGCACAAATATTATTTAATAATATTTAAAAGAAAACTACTTACCAAGGAAAATGAAACCTAACAGTTATATATTATTACATTGTACGTACAATTTGATTTTTTATGTTTTATAAAAGAGAAATTTTCAGGAGTCTTAACTTTGGATTAATTGATTAACACCAAGACTATAAAATACAAACCCAAATCCACAAAAGTCACAAATTTTGACCTTTTAAAACAGTAAACAAAGAAGAAAAGACTTTATAATAGCTTTCACACTTTTCTATGAACAATCGAGAAGAAAATCTTGTCAGGTACCAATTTTGTTTCTTGCCATGTTATTATTCTTCAAACCCATATTTATACCCAAACAAATCCAAAACATTTATAACATAAAACACATGCGGCTCTGAACAGCGACAATAGAARAAAAGCAACTYTGTCTAGCTAGCGGCGGAGAGAGATATGCCCATTATACTGGTGGTTAATTATGTTTGTTGTGTCGGTGACCTGGAAGTTGTAAGAATGCACTCTTTCAATGGATTAGAAGTGTAACAAATTCGAATTGACAAATGAGTGTCAAATTTTCTGCATTAGCCTCTGAGAACCTAAAGAACAATTTCAAAACAGTCCACATTTTAATACAAAACACAAGAATGATCATAG